GTCGAGGAGCTCCACAGCGTCCTATGGGCATACCGCACCACACCCCACTCAACGACTGGGGAAACACCATTCCGACTGACCTACGGCACCGAAGCCGTCATCCCGGTCGAAATCATGGAACCATCCCGACGAACGGAGGAACCCCTCGACGAAGAGATGAATGACGAAGCACTAAGGGATGAACTCGACCTAGTCGAGGAAATCCGATCGGGGGCTGCCCTGCGCGAAGCCACCCTAAAACAACGAGTGGCTCTACGCCACAACGACAAGGTCATCAAGCGCGAGTTCGAAATAGGCAGCCTGGTACTACGAAGGAACCAGAAAGACTCCCGCGAAGGGAAGTTGGCCGCGAACTGGGAAGGACCTTACCGCGTCCAAGGCACCACGGGTACCGGGGCGTACTACCTCGAGCAGTTAGACGGAGAGCCATTACCAAGACCCTGGAATGCTGCTAAGCTAAAGCAGTACTACAGTTAGAAACTGTCAACACCTGGGACCCTCGACCAGCAGCACCCGCGCTCGGTCAACGAGGAAAAACGTCCAATTTCGTATAAGGCTAAGGTACAAGCCCGACGTACGACCAAAATAGCACAGCATCGCGCGGTAAACGATGACGATCGATAGTGCCCGACGTGGACAGCTGTACCGAGCCCCACCGTCGTTGTACCCATAAGGCAGAACACCCAGCTCGCGATGGGCAGTTCACGCCAAGGGCGAATCGTCCCTAACGGGCTCCACGCCCGACTGAGCAACCTCGCTCCGAAATGCCCGACATTCCATCAAGAATAACGGGCCATCTACAAGGGTCAAAAGAAAATCTCTCCCCTCGAGCACAACACTTAGGTGGTTCTGGCCAATCGAAATAGGGCCGGGAACGCATACAAACGGAGTCGAGCATATTCGCTCGCCAATTAAGGCCACTTACGGGCACTCCACGGGCCCGTGGCTTAGGCTAAATTCATACAAGCATATGATTTCAAACAAGGGCAAAAATCCAAAATGTAAAACAACATTGATATAAATGCCCGAAGGCAACAAAACAATAGTAAACCGACCAAGAAGGCCGGCGATGTTCATAACATACAATAACGGGCACGCAGGCCCAAAGAATACAAATGTCAAGGGCACGCAGGCCCGCTATCCTACTCAGACTTCCACGGAATCATCATTGTCGGCGTTCGGAGAGTCGGGCGGAGGAACGATCACGCCACCTACAATCCGGTGTGTGTGACCGATACCCTCAGTGACCAAGCAAGGGTTTAGCAAGGAGAGTTGATCGACCGTAGAATTGAACCCGTCCTCCAGGGCACCGACGCAGTCCACCTCGAGGAGCCGGATGTGGGCGACCAGCTCCACCCGACTCTTCAAAGCTACTATGTCCTCGGGCTCATCCTCGGCAGGTTGCAGGGCAGCATTCATTTCCTCGACCTGTTTGCTCAAGCGTTCGACTTCGGCCGTCAGGCGATCCCTGTCTGCCCGAAGAAGCTCCCCTTCCTCAGTCAACTTCCCCGACTTCTCCTTCTCCAGGGTCAACATCTCCCTCTCAGCATCAAGCATCGCTGTCTGCTCTCGGAACATCCCCTCGGAGCGTTCCAGAGCGACCTTCAACTTCCGCGAGCTCGCGGCCAGGGTCGCCTTCTCCTGCTCGAGTTCTTCAACACGGGCAGCATCCCCTCCATCCTCACATAGCACCAAAGCCATCTCGGCCATTTTTACCAGCCCATCCATGCTGGCGGCCAGATACGCCTTCCGTTCCTCTTTACTCATCTTTTTTATGGCCGCAGCTTCATGGGCAACCACTGTCGGAGGGAATCGCTCGAAAAAGCCCGCCTCTTCGAAGCAAGGGGGGAAGGCAAAAGATTTAACGGCACCGGCGTCCTCACCGACAGTCGGACCACCTTCCACACGGGTCCTCTTCCTCTGCGTCAAAGCGGCACTGGGGTCGATCTCCTCGACTTCTGGATCCGACGCGGGCCCCGAGCTCGACGGCGAGTCCACCCTCACCGGCTGAGGAGCATTTGAATTGGGTGGGGGGCGCATCCTCGACGCCTGTGGGGCCTTCACGACCCTCCTGCCCCGCCTCTGGTCGCAGGATAATTTCAAGAGCCTTTCATGTCGGCTAGCCATCGTACCTGTACGAGATAAAGGAAAAGTCAGTATCGAGCAAACTTCATGAGTAAATGACGAATAAAGAATTTCAAGCAAACAACCTAACAGGCGGGCAGCCTGCCTATATGTCGGGCACTCCACCAGCGCCTTGGTGTCAATCGGAAGGGACTCGAACGTTGGGTAGCCATCCTTGTCCAAGATATCATCCCCTTCCCGTGTAACCCATCGGGCGGGATGAAAACTGTCGACAAACCGGCAAAGAGCGTCGTACGCCTGCTCGTCTTCCGAGCACATATCCCCGGCGGCGGTATGGTAATAACCCGTCCCATGCTCGTAATGCCGAGACATCCAGTACACCGGGATTTTAGCCCTACGACCCAACACAAGGTTCCTATCGTCGCCCACCATCACTTCCCCATCATCGTCGCTCACTGGCCCCTCCTCCTCGAAAAGGGAATTTAAAGCAGCGTCGGTAACTGGCCGTACCACGTACCACTTGTCTTTAAACCCCCTCACGGAGTCCATATACATCTTAAAGAGTCTCCTCGACTGCTTCAGGGAGACCCAGCTATGTTTCCCTCCTCGGGACTGACGCTGCAGGTGAAATACCCGGAAGAAAAGAGGGATGGTCGCCCCGATCCTCGGGTAGCGACACGTCAACTCAAACGCCCGGATGAAGGCGAGAGAGTTTGGGTGTAGCTGGGACGGGGCCAGCTCCAAGTGCATAAAGACCCCGGCCTGAAAATCAGTGAATGGCAGCCGCAGCCCTAGGTCTTTGAACGCGATCTCATACATCGCGAGGCTGTAATTCGGATAAACCGAGCAAATCCTTGCCCGGGTTGACGGAACCATAACTACAAAGTTTTTCTGGAAGCCGGGCTGGTCTTGACCCTCTTCAACGACATCGAATGGATGTCAGTCGTCTCGGCTGTATACCGACGCTATCCCCCGCGGCTCGACGCCCACCCATTCCAGCAAAGGGTCGGTCACGGTATCAATCAGGGTGACCGACTCGTCGGCACTCTGTTCGTCACGGTCGCGGCGTCCGGAAGAACCCGGCCCGTCCGCCATGGTTACCTGCAGAGCACGGGAAACCAGTCAGTTGAGCACGAAGTCCTACGCTCGACAAAATCATGTCGTCCCATACACGACTACATGAGTCCATTTTCCACGAATGGCTGCCTCCCCGACGTCCTGAACCCGGTGTTCTTCCTCAAACTAACTGCGCGGACACTCTCCAAGCATATCGGCCCGAGGTATGAACATGGCGAGCCGCACCATGAAGCCCACGGCCAAGACCATGAACATACCGGGCGCGATCATGAATCAGGCGCCCTGGATCATGAAGACCCCGGGCAGCTCTGAAGTTTATCACCTAAACCATGAATATGCCGGCCACAAACATGCGTTTGCCGGTCCTAGGCATGAATGTGTCGGGCCGAGCACGAGTTTACCGGGCTAATCCCACGCGCACGATCCTAAAAAATCTACAAACGCCGGAAATCATGCATTCTAAATGGAAAAATGAAGAAGGTAGATCACTTACTTGGATCAAAGAGTGGGATCTGGCTACGAAATGGAAGAATCTGTGACGAGAAGTCGCAACTGGAGAAAGTCTGGAAGAGCAGCAGCAGAGAGAGCACAGAGAGCAGAAAACGTATTATGGGGCCCAAGGTTCCTATTTATAGTGATGACGTGGAATACCAAACGTCACCTCGGGCAACCACGGACTCCATCTCCTCGACACGCTGCTCCCAACGCAATGATGGCCCTACCCCCATAGGGTGGCGGCACAGTTCCCGAAAGATACATCGTGTGCTCGACCGACACGCCCGGTAAGGATCCTCCGCGCATCCACCTCCGAGGACGTCTCCGAGCACGACACGAGGAGGCCCCTCGAGGGCCCACACCTCTATCCCGGGCACGAGACCTCAGCGATGGAATAACTTGGGTTCAAGTCATGGCTCCTCGCAAAGGAACCACGACTTGGGGGGCTCCTGTTCTGGACTGGGCCCGACAGGCCCAAAAGCATTACTAAGGCCCAATCCAAAGGGACTTACTGAGGACCACGCCAAGCAAAGGGGTCACATCCGTGCCCGACATCCTGATGTCCAGCCCGACATCCCGCTGTCCAAATCCACGTCCTGACACCCAACGCGACACCCTGCTGTCCAGCTCGACGTGGTCTTCAGCACGGCACCCTGCTGTCCAGCTCGACGTGGTCTCGAGCAACCCAGCTAGGGCAGACTCAGTCCACCGTTCCCCCAACGATACTCCGGAAAGACCGCGTCTCCGTCCACCCGCACTTCACGCAGAACATCCAGGAAGGGGACCACGTGCGGGTCCCCACTACCCACGTAGAACCTGGCAGTTCCTCCATTGGGCCAAATCCGCCCGGCCCAATGGAGGAACCTTGGCCCAGCGCTGGGGGCTATAAATACCCTCTGTTTCCAGAGGGTCAGGTATTCATCATTCTAACCTCAACTTACTATTATCTGCTCGTACTCCTACTTACTTTAGCATCGGAGTGCCTTGCAGGTACCCCCCCCACCTCGTTCAAAAAAGCTTTCTGCTCGGAGCCAGCCGTGACGGTCCATTTCTGATCAGGTCAGATCAGTAATTACTCCATTTGATCTCTGAAATCACATAATGTCAAGTAGATAAGTAGATTTGTACCTCTGTCGTTATTCATACAGAATATATTAACGTTAAGTTGGTAATGTCAGAGGTGCATTTGAAACTAAGTGAATAATCTTATGGATACATTTGATAACATATTTAGATCAAGAGACAAACTTGCTTAACATTTTACAAGTCTAGATAAAAGGCCAAATAAAGAACAACGGTCAAACATTAATGAAAGAGATTTGGTTTCAAGATTTAATATCCAATCACATTTCAAACAACTCTTTAGCAACCTTGACTACTATGAATTCCAACATGAATAAACGGGGAAAACTCATTTTCAGTAAAAGAATAAATATGAAGAATACCTGAGTTGAAGATCCACGAAGGAGAGGATGAGAGGCAAACATTGTGAGCATTGTTGAGCAATTCAGATTGAGTGTTGCAGCACGAGAAATGCGAGTTGCAGAGCGAGAGTGCTGAACTAATCTGAAATAAGAAGCAAAAATTATTCAAAATGCCAAAATTCCTAAATTCCTTATGAAATTGCTACATAAGCATCAAGAGAATATTGGTACAGATATACACATATTGTGGTATACTACTCAACATAATAAAATCAATACATATTTTCACAATAATCAAACAAAGTAGCCAACCCAGTCATACTACACAATAAACTCAATGCATTATTTCTAGCATCAGTTGCCTCACTCCAATTCCCTCTTTCAACCAATCTAACAACTTCAAGTTGTGCTTTTTCCAACTCATTCTTTTGCTTCTTATTTATTAATCCAACGTAATAAGCATTAGCAGCATGAGTAACAACTTGTGTTATAGGGTCTGTTAATCCATCACCAATTGCCAAACCAACTAAATTAACTAATTAACTACTGAATCTAATTAAGGCTAATTAACTAGGAATTAGGTTAGGAATTAGGGCTAATTAACTACTAAATCTAAATTCACAAATTCACAACAGAACAGTAGAGAAATTCAGAAAAAAGTGATCATTGCAAAAAACAAAATCAAAATCGGAGCAAATCAGTATCTAACGGACGAATCGAAATGAAGAATTAAAATGAAGAATCGAAAACACGATTTTGAAAATAAATATGATGAAAAGATTTCAACCTGAAATGATTTTGAGAAGCGATTGCAACCTGAAGCGATTCCTTGCAACCTGAAACGATGAAATGATGAAATGATTTTGAGACGCGACTACAATCTGGAGATGAAACAATGAAATGAAAGATTTCAACCTGATTTGCTGAAACGGCGATTTGCTGAAATGGTGCTTCTCACGATTTCTGCTTCTGCTTCTCACGATTTGCTGAAACGGCGATTTGTTCTTTGGTCTTTGCTTTTTGGTCTCTGAGAAGCTGAAAAGATTACAATCTGAAATATTTTTAATTAAATATTTTACTTTATACATAGTTATAATATTGATTTTATTTATAAGTTAATACATAGTTAATACATAGTTAATACATAATTTTGATTTTATTTTATAAGTTAAACTTTAATTAAATTTTATTAATTTAATTAAAATTTACTAATTTATAATATTAATTTCATTTTATAAATGTGAGTTTATTGATTTTTGGGTTAATACTTATTTTCACCCCTGACATATGGGGTGTATTTGAAAAACCCTCCTTTTAAAGCTGTGGCTTATATTTTTGTTATATTTTTATGACATGGCTTATGGCATTTATATTAATATTTTATTAATTCAAAGTTAAAAATTTTTTGTCCTTCCACAAGAATCGAACCGTGGACATACTGTCTGCAACAAACACTTCTTACCACTAGACCAATACATTTTCTTTATTATATTTTGGTTTGAACGCCCTTAATATTACTTTTTTTCTTGACTAATAATAACAGACTTCAATATAACCACGAGCATGTCAAAAATTATAATTTATAACACATCCTTAAAATTTCACAGTGCTTAGCAGTTAGCATAGTAATTATGATACTAACATCAATTGAATTGGTATGGGGTCTATAACAAAATCTAACATTGTGACTCCATCCATCCATCCTTCATAACTAAACAAGGACATTTGAAATCTATACTTAACACCACATCTATGAATCTTGTGATTGTTTAAATCAGTGCAAATCACGCACAAAAGATTGTACCGTTTCTACGTATATTAAGACAGAACAAATAGATTGAATCATATTTCAAATAGCAATTAGGCATCGATAATAACAAGATTATAAAAAGCGGAACTATGTTACAAGGTCCCAAAAGCATGCGTATAAGAAAAAACATCAATACATAGAAAGGGGTATACCATGGAGGCTATTATAGCGGCTGCAGCCGGCGGGAAAACAAGTCTTAAGCTATCCATGGGGTGCTTATGATGACATCCATGAAGAAGATAATGCAATGTATTCCCCCAATAACTCTTCGTTTGAACATGGAAAAGAAACCGGTGCAACAAGTATTCAGCCAAAGTCCATACAAAAATGCCAAGAAGCACGAAAAGAGGTAAACAAGGAGTCTCGAGTCCCAATCTGAAATAATTATAAATGAACCAAGACGCAACCAAAATATAACAAAGAAAATGCATTGGTCTAGTGGTAAGAAGCGTTCGCTGCAGACAGTATGTCCACGGTTTGATTCTTGTGGAAGGACAAATTTTTTTTAATATTGAATTAACACTCAATTAATAAAATATTAATATAAATGCCATATGGAATTAAAAATTAAAAATTAATTAAAAATGACAACTAATCAAGCCATGTCATAAAAATATAACAAAAATATAAGCCACATCAGCCTTTTAGGTGATGTGGCATCCTCAAGGTAAAAACTGAAACTTTTAAAATTTGTCAAGGTAACAATTGAAACTTTTTTTTTTGGCAGGGGGGTTTTTCAAATACACCCCATATGTCAGGGGTGAAAATAGGTATTAACCCTTGATTTTATTTATAAGTTATACATAGTTAATATATAGTTTTGATTTTATTTTATAAGTTAAACTTTAATTAAATTTTATTAATTTAATTAAAATCTAATTTTAATTTACTAATTAATAATATTGATTTTATTTTATAAATTTGAGTTTAATATACTTTTTATTTGATTTTATAAAATTTATACTTTGTTTTATAAATTTAATTTTAATTAGTTTTATTTTAATTTACTAATTTATAATATTGATTTTATTTTATAAATTTAATTTTAGTTAGTTTAATATATTGGTTTTTTATTTTATAGTTAAAAACAATTTACTAACAAATATTTTGAAACAATAAAAAATGAATCAAATTGATGGACGGAAATGAAATTATTTGGCACTAATATTAGCGTCGGCCCAAAGCGTCGCTAATATTAAAAATTAATAATTATTTAATACAATAAATAAAAAGGAGGCAAACGAAATAGGTGGATGGAAATGAAATTATTTGGCACTAATATTAGTGTCGGCCTAAAGCGTCGCTAGTCCTAAATTAATAATTATTTCATACAATAAATAAAAAGGAGGCAAATAAAATTGGTGGAGGGGAATGAATTATTTAGCACCAATATTAGCATCGACCAAATCCGTCTCTACTATTAAAATTAATATTCATTTAACATAGTACTTAATAAGGAGGCAAACATAGTAGTTAATAAGGAGGTAAACGAAAATTTGGCACTAATACTAGCGGCGGCTCAAACTGTCGCTGCTATTAAAAATGAAAATATTATTTAATACAATAAATAATAAGGAGGCAAACGAATTGATGGGGAAAGGGAATTATAAAGAGTAAGTTTTAGCGTTGGTTGTGGCCGACACTATGATCAACGACCTAATAAAAAAATAAAATAAATGGCTTTATTCATTTAGCGTCGGCTTATGCCGCCGTAATAGCAACGCTATCAGTGTCGGTATCAGGGCCGACGCTAAATAATTACAGCTAAATAGTGATTTTCTTGTAGTGTACGTTGACGAGGACACTACACATGGAAAGAAAATATAAATATATATCAGGATATACCCCATAACTTGTTTTATCAAGTATCATCACTAATATAATCAAAATTGTGAAAATATACCTACACTCTGATCCACGTAATATTGTTGGCTCTACTCTTTGGTACTTGAATACCTATTTGTGATCGAAAAACTTGTAGAATGCTATAATAAAATATAAACGACTATTTAGAATAATCTCACATAGATAAATAAATATACACACGAATATTTAGAACAATCTCACTTACGTATCAATCGTCTTCTTCGAATCTGGGTATGTTGTCCAATTATTGTATAACGAATCCAAATAGTATACAATCTCTCTAACAGGATTAATTGCAAGCAACAACCAATGTCCATTATAAAATTAAACAAATGTTTGATGGAAAGTTTCTACAAAACGTTAAAAATCAAAAAAATTATTATATATGAAGTTAGGATGAAAATCTAACCCGTTGTCAGTATTACATGGTAAAAAGAACAACTTTTATGTATCTTTGCTGACCATAAATAAACCGAGTACGTACAATATGACATCATCTGGTTTTGTTACAATTAACCCTGTGTTGACAGTGTTGGGAGCTAAAAAAGCGAATCTTTCTTCCAATCCACGCAGGCGCATCACTTTGTCATATAAAAACCTTAAATAAAAACATCATTAAAATTAGACTATATTCATTGAAATGAGTAAATAAATTGTTCATTTAATTAAATAAAGTTGATCGAAGTATACCTGATGTATGTATCGATAACACCGAGGCCTAAAGTAGAATATTGTAAAACTTGATCAATATCTTCTCTACCAATTGCTTCCATGTATTCATAACCAAAAATGTATGCCTTCATAGGTATAAGACGAGTACCACCAATTGGAATATCTGTTATTCCTATATATGTATGAAGGCACGACCTATACTGAGAAGTAGATTTTTTTCTAGCCCGGTCTTGTTACCCCTACTTACTTGCTCAATCTCTTTAGCATACATCTAAATATTTAATTAGTTAGGTGAAGTATAAGATCCCTCTATGCATAAATATCATATAATTGTGTTATACCTCTTTTTTTGATGCAACTGACTCAGTTTGCTTCTTAATCCCCTTATCTTTTGATTTGGATTTTGTGGGAGTCTAACATTACCATGAAAAAAATGTATGTTAAATGGTCGTAAAAAGTAATGGATACTCAAAGGTTCATAATAGTTTAAAACATACCTCCTCATCTATGCAAATGAGGTTTGACGACCATGCAACATACGATCCTATTGCCTCTCCCACCAATGTTGCATCTGAAATATCGTCATACAAAGGTAATGGCGCATCCCTCTATAAAGAAATTTCAATTGACACTTTCATAAATCTAGCAGAGAGCGGTTTATGGTGAAGTACTTCTCCCAAGGTGTTATGCACTTTTCCCTTTCCAACCATGCGATAAGTCGGTGACGATAAATATAGCTGACAAGGTAAAATACCCTAAACCAATAATAAATATGAAATTATTAATGTGTATATATGTCAATTAAAAAAAGTTCTAATTCATAATAATATATATTACCTCAGGAATTTTCTGTTGGAAATCACAATTGATACTATCTTTGTCACTAGTATCCTTGAACCTTGGACCTTGCCTTTCTGACATGTATTTTTCTTTGTCCTTTTCCAACTCACGAACTGTAGCTTTTAATTTTTCTAACTCTTCCATCACTTCTTTATTGCTATTACCTTTCCTCTTTTAATGGTTACTCAAAGATGTTTGAGTCACTCCGAATCCCTTACCCCTCACACGACTGGTATACTCAGGAACATTTAATACCCGACTAAGTATGCTCCTGCAATCATGGTCTTCAGCTTGAGTTAAAGATTGAGATAGACTCTCCTGAAATTCATATGCATAGCGAAATAAATTAGTGGTGATTAAACTCATAATTTCTTTATTTTAATAAGCTTGATATTTTATTAAAGGAATATTGATATACTTACACATTGCTCATAAATTTGTTGCACATCTTCCTTAACAACTTCATCCTTACCCACCCGGGCAACCTTCCACAGAACATGTTCCGAAAGAGATGTTTCTTGACTTTTATCCTCTTCTAACTACACATTAAGAAAAATAATAAAATCAATAATAACACATGGTGAACAATTATATCATAGCATTTATATATACTTACCAATCTTTGATGTAAGCGTGCATATTCCATACGCCCTTTTCTGTATGGATACAGGGGACTTGATGCTCATTGGCAACTCACACCACTCACATCTTGAAAATATGAGGTTCTTATTTTTTCTTTGAAGGTTTACCATTCTTCAAGCAAAATCAAGTCTGCATACGCCCGTGGATGCTTCACATCGATAAAATTGTTATCGGCATCCCTAAGAAACTTGTTTGTCAAAAAAGATCGAAACCCTCTTAGTCTTTTTCCGGCCAATTGAAGACAATATGATTTTCGATCATCATCAATATTAAAAGACATCTACAAAAAAAAACACAATATAAAAAGCTTTAGTAATTTAAAGACATAAGCGGGAAAAAAAACGAAAGACATCACATATGGCACCTGTATTTCAGTCCATATTTTTCTTTAATGGGTTTCAACTCATGCCTTCTCCAATCATCGCAAGTGATTGGAACTTATCTCCTTACAATGGAACTAATGTAACTTGTTAACATTGAACCGTTAGGCTCAATTAGTTATTTGTCTTTATTCTAATGTACGTCAAATTTGATACCTTTATCTCTTGCAAGAATGATTGACTTCATAATTGTTATTCCTCGTCTAATATCATTCTCCATATCACGAGCTGATTCTTTTCCATCATTATTAGAAGCCATTTGACCGTAATGTTAAAGAACATAAACACCATATAAAATTCAAGTAACATAAACACAATATAAAAACATAAACACAATATGAATTACTAGTACCTATTTCACTAACATCTCTTTCATTTCCATCATTATTAGAAGCGGGATGTGATTTTTCCTCATTGGTATCCATTTGACCTGTAATATTAAAGAAAAACATAAACACCATATAAAATTCAAGTAGCATTTAATTAATAAACACAATATAAAAACATAAACACCATATAAAATTCAAATAGCATTGAATTAATAAACACAATATAAAAACATAAACACAATATGAATTACTAGTACCTTTTTCACTAACATCTCTTTCGTTTCTTGGTTGGAATATGAATTACTTGGATCTTAACAACTTGGACGGGTGGATGATCCAAATTCCCTCATTATGATCATTTCTAATATATGTTTCATCCGCTATAATATTCTCATCTTGATCATTTCGTATATACGACTCATTCTTTCTAACATATGACTCATTCTCAACATCAACATCACTTTGATTTATACTGTTATCATCAATCACTTTCTTAGATAAAAGCACTATAGACCATTTCGTACTTGTCAGATCAGTGACATAGAACACTTGTTTAGCTTGAGAGGCTAGAATAAAAGGCTCATCTTTGTACCCCACCCTATTAAGATCCACTTGTAAAAGTCCCGACTTATCCATTCGTATGCCACTATTATATACCCACTTGCAACCAAAGATAGGAATCTGAAATTTCTCATAATCAAACATCCAAATATGCTCGATAACCCCAAAATAAGACAGATTTGCATATTTGTGGTTTAAGTCATTCATACTTGAAATGTGCATTGCTTCAGCTACAACAGTGACACCACTATTTTGCACAGTGCTTTTATCATCTTGTTCTTTGGTATAAAACGTGCATCCATTAATTGTGTATGCGCTATAAGAAAACACGAGCAAACTCAGACCATATGCTAAACATCTCAATCTTTCTATTATTGAAGCGAGATCTAAATCAAACTTTGAATAAATATGATCTTTGAACCATTGTATAAAACTTTGATTGTGCTCTCGTATAATCCAATTTTCATTTCTGTTCGGATTTAAACCTCGGAGTACATCCTTGTGCATTTCAACATACAACTCAACCTCATTATTATTGTGCAGAACATATAAATGCACTTGATCCCGTTCAACCCTTGATACTGTCACAATTTTATTTTTGATCAAATTTATTCCTTCCTTCCTCTCTAAAATATGAGATTTGGGTAGTCCAATGGATTGAACATTAGTCAAATATTCAGTACAAAAATCAACTGCTTCTTCAACAATGTATCGTTCAACCATACAACCTTCTGGCCGACTTTGATTTTTCACGTACCCTTTTAATATTTTCATATAACGCTTAACAAGGTACGTCCATCTCATATAAGCTGGTCCACGCAATTGTGTCTCTTTCACAAGATGAACAACAAGATGTACCATAATGTCAAAAAATGATGGAGGAAAATATATTTCAAGCTCGCACAAAGTAATAACTATTTCTTTTTGCAATATTGGTAAGATCTCAGGATCGATCATCTTACTACAAATTGACCGGAAGAAAAAACACAATTTAGTCATGACGCTTCTTACTTTTTATGGAAAAATAGAACGTATACCTATTGGTAGAAAATGATCCATTATAACATGGAAATCACATGTCTTTACACTCTTTAACTTGAGGTCTTTCATAGACACAAGTCTTCTAATATCTGAAGAGTAACCTTCTGGAACGTTAACTTCACTTAGAAACTTACACAATATTTTTTTTCTCCTTTATAGATAAAGTATAAGCAGTAGGCGGCAGATATATTCGTGTTCCTTTCTTCATGGGTCCTAATTCACTTCTTATTCCCATCTCTATTAAGTCCTTTCTTGCTTTAAGGCCATCCTTAGACTTTCCTTGTATATTGAGTAACGTACCAATAACACTTTCAAATACATTTTTTTCAATATGCATAACATCAAGGAAATGTATTACATACAATGACTTCCAATATGGCAATTCAAAAAAAAAATCAACCTCTTCTTCCACCCACCTTTGACAAGCGTATTTGCAAAAGGCTTGCCAAACTGAGTACTCATATCTTTCACCTTCTCAAAAACTTGGTCACCTGTCAACATAGGTGGATGTTGTACCCCAAAATTTGCCCTCCCATTTCATCAATATTTTCTCACCACAAGACCCTTGGAGCTCAAGATCAAGCTAGGGTTTGCTCTGCTCAAGACTCCTCCTTGCACTGTTGACCCAAATTAGGGTTTGAGTTTGCACAAAGATGTGTTGACCTAAAATTCCCAAGATAACTTTCATGCTTCATGTTGGACTCACAAGTTTATCCATACCTAGTTTCAAGCCTTGATTCCAATCTTTGCCCAGTCAATTGGACAGTTGACCTAGAAATCAGCTGTATTGGGGAAAAAGTCAACTGTGGTCAATTGACAGTCAAACCTCATGATTTTTGACCCACATCAACATTATGAACTCATATGGACCATTTGATCAAGTTTGGATCACAATTTCACAAGAAATTTGATCAGATCATCAAAAGGGCAAAATGGTCATTTTTAGGGTTTTGACTGCACAAAGGCAATTTTTGACTGTTTGACCTAACCAATGGCAAACCAAGCTCCCTTATGGCCTCAAGGACTCAATGACATGGTCTTGACACATTCAACAAGTTCAAAAGATTCCAAATGCACAAGTTTGACAGATGAATTTTCCAGTCAACTGATCCAAATTTGACTGTATACTGAAAAGTCAAACTTTGACTTTTTGGTCAAAATCAAGTGTCAAGATTAATTTTTCATCAAAACATGCCAAATTGTGAAACTTGTTCATAAAGAAACCAAGAATTACAAATTAGGGTTTAAAATGAAGAAATTTCATAACTTAGAAATTTTCTAAGTTATGAAATTTCCTAATTTTTTCCTAACTTTGTCCCATTTTTTCTTCAAGATGCAAATTGATTCAAGATAAACTCAAAACATGAAAGTTGTAGTCTATTGCAAAATCTACAACTTTGATTCACAAAGCTTTCTCAAAAGAAGCTTGTAGCTCAAGTTATAATTTTTGGAACAAGGGTGCAAAACATTCTTAACTTAGAAATTTTGTGACCTATTTTAGGCAGGATTTTTTCCTAACTTCATGGCCACTTTTCACATGCTTCCACTTAGAATTTCAATTTGCATTACAAAGATGGATTGTAGTACATATTCTGAGCTTTCCAAATTGTCCAAGAACTTCTCAAACACCCTTGTGGTTAGGGAGAATCGAATTGACAAAGTTGGGCAAAAGTCACTTTTGTTCTTGACCAAATGCATGTTCATAACACTTTGCATTTTCAAACTCAGCATGCACAAGCTAGGTTACAGGCCTCTAATCCCTTTCTTACTCAATAATTCAATGCTAAACCATTGTGCCAAGATGTTATTTCATTCATTTGGGCAATACATGTTAGATTAATCCATAATTAGAAAAAGCATTTTAGCCATTTTGATAAAGAAGCACTTTATGTCAAGTTCACATATCTTTGAAGTACAAGGAAATCTATGAGGCACAAATGTGTGGACATATCCCACTGATCAAGAACAAACTTTGCAGCATGTTTGAGGGGCCTGTATGAGCCTGTAACCTAACTTGGCATTTTTGGCTTAAGAAGGAAGAAACTTGCATTTTGAACAACATCTCTCATTACTGCAAGAACTAACCAAAACAAACTTTGTGAACACATTCCATACTCCCTAATTAACCTGAAACACGACCAAACCATCCCTGAAACTCTCTCATTCATCAAAACACAGTTTTGTGGCAAAACAGGGTACCTTCTGCATTTTGACTTGGCCAGTTCATTTCCCTCGTGCGTTTTCATCCAAACCAGTTCAAACACATCCTACACCATCCATACAAACTATCCCAAGCCCTAGCTACAGACTGTAACACCTCTAACCAAGTTCACCATTTTCATTTTTTCAGTTGTGCAGGTTGAGTTACATAGCTCGATTCAGTTAGTTTCAAAGCAAGCTAGAGGTTGGGAGAGCATCCTTGGACCTCAAGCAAGCTGTACAAGTCCTCACACTGCATTGAAAGTACCTCCATTATTGCACACGATTCCAGTTGAACAGGTAAAACTTTAAACTTCTATCTCTCTATCCAAGCATATCTAGGCTTAGGTTTGTGAAGAAGTTATGTCCTAATCATGGCCCTGAAGCTACCTGTATCCTCACTTTTCATTTATATTGTGTGTGCTAAGAGAATTTGGAACCTGAACATTAGAAAAAAGTTAGGTCAGGAATTGGGGGAGAAGAAATTCTCTCTCATTTATGAGAGTTAGATCAACTTCTTTATATGTTTAGAATCGTGACATGATGCTCTATAACATTGCTGTTGTAAGTTTTTGTTGAAAATCAAAGGATCAAGAGATAGCAGGGACAAGAGAAAACGCGCGTTTTTGTTTGAAATTGGCTGGAGGTTGAAGACAAGCCTCCTTGGGCTGGGCCTGGTTTTGTTTTTCTGTTTACACCATCTTTTTACAATTACACCCCCTTGGCCCATTGTGTGTTATTTTTATCATTTTTAATTTTTTTCTTTTTGTTTCTGATTTATTATTTTTTGTCAAAGTATAAAAAACATTAAAAACATTTTTTCATCCATTTTTGCATTTTATTTGGATTTTTATTTGTTTTATTTGAACTTGTACATATAAATAAACATATATATACTTTTATTTAAAATACTAAAATAATACAAAATACATTCTATTTTCTGATTTTATTTTATTTTATCTTTTGAAAACATTTTCTAAAAAATATACTTTTTTTGTAAAATAATTAATATTTTATTTTTGTGTATATTTAATATATTTAATACATAATACAAATACTTATATAATTATTAGAATATTTAGGATAAAAACATAAAAATAATATATTTTTTTTCTTATTAATGTTTAACCTCAAAAATTACTTTTTTACAATATACTTCCCTTTTATTTTATTTTTTTGTATAATTAATAAATATTATATATAATAAATAATAAATACCTTTTATTTAGAAAAATTAGGGTTTTGCTCTAAAATGTGAAAATATCCAAAAATTAACCTTTTTATTATTTCACTTGTAAATAAATCACATACACTTACACAAATACATTGATACACTTACGTTGCTTTATTCTTATACATTGATCATTTTACATTTGCGATTGATTTGATTTGGTTGTAAATTTATTTGGATACTATTCTCCTATTAAGTCTCATCCCCATTTGGACATTTGTACCCCCATCCCCATGATTATTGTGTAATAATTTAGGACTTTTAATTCCGCATTTTAAAGCTTTCTAAATATGCCATGATAGACTTAGGGTTTTGTATGCAAATAAAAAATAACAAATAGCTTGACTAAACAAAAGACAAAAAGCATGAAAATGGACAACACCAATCACACTTGCACCCCTAGGGTTACTCCACTTGTTGCCTTTAATAATGGGTTATGTTGCATGTTGGGTGTCTTTGGCAAAACAAAACAAATCCAATGATCATAGTCCCTCGATGACGCTTTCGAAAGTTGCCTAAAAATGATCAAGTCCCTTAAAAGAAAATTGCCAAAGACACTTGGCACTATTGCAATCATGGTCTAAACGATGACCCGCGTCCGTCCCGTTAACCTCCTAACACAAGATTGTCCACCAAATACAATGGTGGAACAAAATTGTTAAAAGGGTTAAAACATAGAAAAAACCTTTGAGTAAATTTAGGGGTAGACAACTCTTAGTTACTTGATAAACTTGCAAAACACACTTGCCTACTTTTCAAAACCACACTCCACAACACTTTCAAAACAACTTTCAAAAACATTGAAAACTTTTCAAAAGATATACACCTTTGTACACATTCAAACATGAATCATTATAAAGGTTGCCACCACATTGGCCTCTTTTCAAAACATTTTCAAACCCACACACAAAGCACCATTTCAAACAATTGAAAATGCAAGGAAAGTGATCTAAGCAAGTAACTAAGAGCCCATGGATAACCATGGATAAAAAGGGTGATAATACCTTCCCTTTCTATAATCTACCCCTCGAACCCAAGAAAAAATCTCAAAGGTTTTTGCTGTGCTTTTTAACCTTCCCTTAGGATAAAATAAAAAGTCGGTGGCGACTCTTGCTCAACCAAAACATTTGCGAAAACAAACGCAAAACTCAAGTCAGTTCTCCCACTGTATCACAGAACTGGTGACTCTGCTGGGGAAAACTTAAAAGTGGGGTTACCTTAGGATTAGACCACTCTTGTTTTCAATTGCTTGCTTTGTTTGCTTTTATATTTGTGGTCTTTGCATCGGAGTTTCATAGATCCTAACCCGGATCTGGGGAATACCCTTTTAGGTAGCATAAGCTGTGAGGGACCTGTCCGGCGTAGACCAACATGGGTGAAGCAGTGGCTACGTTGGTGTGACACCTTGGTCTGTACCGATATCCCTTGTGTTGCAACGAGGAGAATATGGGTCTTCTAAGGAGTCATTAAACACCAACCGACCTTAGAACCCTAAATTGACCCAACTTGGCCATAGAACGGTAGCAGTATGCTACACTCATTGAGGCTAAACTCTCGCGATGGTTCTGGCCGCAAGAAAAGATTGCGATGCTGGAGTTATGACCGATTGAGGGTAGTCAATGATATTGAGATCCTCTAGAACCCGGTTACTTTTGATAGGACAGGTCTTAACCAACGAAACTAAAAGAGGGTAATACCTAAACTTCATGCTGGCCTAAACCCTAAGGGTTGTCTTGTGTGACTATGTGTGCTTTATCATGCTTGCCTTTGTGAATACTTGTGGTGTGCCTTATCATAACATCATACCACCATACCATTGAATGCATCCTGTATAAGGACTGACCCATTTCAAAGACAAGAGGGTTTCATCTTTGCTCTGTTTTGTAGGACATCATGATGCCCATGCGTAGGAATACTATCCGGCTCAACTTTGTTCAACCACCTACTTTGCTCAAGGAATTGGTTGATAGGATTCCAAACACTACTTCCTTCATCAAGAGGCATGGTTCTCTTCTCGGTTTAGTCACTTCAAAGTGGGACCAACAACTGATGCGTGTCCTGGTCCAGTTTT